TGAATTTATGGGTGTGCATATTGAAATGAGGTAATTATTTTAAGTAGCACCTAGGTGTTTTTAGCTAAAGAGACTGTGGAATTACACTTCCTCACATCATCACTAGGTTTGTTTGTATGGGTTGAGTACACAGCACAGGCTGCCAGAGGGCAGAGGCAGCAGGAAGGAAGCAAATGCCAGTCTTGTTTTTCAGTTCTGCTGTTGTGGGGAGGGAAGGCAGGGTGATGAATTTCACAGTGCCATGAATACTTGATTGGAGTGTTCTTTAAGGTGGATTATTTGAATTTCAATCCCTGCAGTTTATGAGGATCACAGGCTGAGAGGGACCTCTGTAGGTCCTCTAGTCCAACCTCCTGCTCAAAACAGTGCTAACTTCTAAGTTGAGTGAGGTTGTCCAAGTCCTTGGTTAAACAAGCCTTGTAAATCACCAAGGTTGAAAATTCTACAGCACCTCTTAAGCAATTTCTTCCTTTTATTATGAAGAATATTTCTCTATAGCTAACTGGAATTTCTTCTACTGGAATTTCTGACTGTTGCTGTCATGGTGCACCTCTGGAACTGGTCTAGTCCAACAAGCACCCCTCAGGCAGCAGAAGACAAGTTAACTCTCCCCTTTTGCACCCACAAAAAAGTCTGTTCCTCCACTGGACTTTTCTGTTTTAATATATTTCTTATCTCGTAGGGCTCAAAACTAGTCTTGTTATTCCAGATGTATCCTCACGATGCCGAGTGGAAAGAAGTCACCACTTCCTTTGCCTGCTGGCTGTGCTATTGCTAATGCAGCTGAGTGTGTGGTTTGTCTGCATTGTTGCAAGGACATACTGCTGACTCACCTTCAGCTTTTCCCTCACATCATTTTCTACAGAGCAGCAATGCGGGCGGACGGCTCCCAGCCTATTGCAATGCATGAGCTTATTCCCTCCCACATACCTGGGCCTATTTGTCTCAGATACAAAAAAGCTTCTGGTTATTCTGGCTTATGTAGATTCACAGTTAAATTGCTGTATTCTTTAAGAAAGAAAAAGACTATCAAAACTTCAACTTACATCATTATAAGCATTAATTTACTTTCTGTTGAGGATTTCACACTTATTAGAATTACAACTACCTCATAGCAAAGAGATTATTGGACCTGATGATCGTAAAAGTCTTTTTCAACCTAAATGATTTATGATTTTATGATTTTTACACAAAAAGGTTTTGATAGCAGTTGATTTTGGCTATGTGACCAGGCAATTAAAAAGGCCTTTGGAGTCTACAACTTTGTACAGCAGACTACAAATATTAGGTATTTTGCACTATTTGGATGTAAATGGACCATGGCTGAAGCATCCCATTTGATATAAAAAACAAATCAAAGAGTTGCTGTAGGTGTCAAAAAATTAATTCACTTTTACCACTATTACAAGGGCTTAATTGATTAATTCACCATTGCCACAGTTTTTTTTTAGATTATAAATATTAATTTTTTTTTTTAACTAAACATACTCTCAGGTAGTTGTTTTCCAATGTTGGCTGTAGCCAGATGCAGGCATGCAAGTTCTTGGATTTGGAGTTCTTGGACCTCCTCTCCTTTCAGAGGCTTCCTCCTTCCACTGTGGAAGGAAGAATCCTTCCTTCTACCAAAGCTTCTTGGTAGAATTCTGTTATGCATCCTTCTTGACGGCATCAATAGAAAGTTGTGCTGCTTTGATTTCATACTAATGTGATTATCCAATAATTGAAGTAAGGATTAAAAAATCTTCTGTATGTGGGTTTTATATTATTTATCTGGATCCATTTATCTCTGCAGTGAATTTATCATGACTGGACTGACATGTCCTTTGGTGTAAATTAATACAACGACATTTGTACTTTGAGATAAGGGCATGCTAACAGATGGGTGAAAAGAAGTTTCCTTTGAATATATGACAGCTTTTCAGCCAGCTATTTAAAAACAGATGAGACCCAAATTCTGCCCTGGTTATGATCTTGCTGTATGATAATTTCAACAAGGTCACAAGACTTTCTTCTCTGTGTGTGGAGGGGAAACTGTTTTCATACAGAATATTAGTCCTGAAAGAAATAAGCATTCTATTTACACATATAGAAGAGGTTTCAAGTCTTCCAGGAAATCTGTTTGAAAACTATTTACAATATTAGTATGCAAATTATATACTACACACTAAATGAGAATCTTGCAGCAGAGTGCTCTGACAGGCATTTCACTATTTGAACTATGGTAGTCCAGTTAAAAAAGCAACACAAAAAGAAAACACAGCTGGATGTAATTGTATCCAAACACATACTTATTATGTTAATGGGGGCATGCGAATAAAATGAGATGTTGTCCAGCAAAGGTTTTCCCACAAAGACTGTGTTATTTTAGCAAAATGATCAAATAATGCAAGCTTTTGTGTTTGTTTTAATTGAAAAGATGTTTGATATTTATTCCTAAAACTTGACAGATGAAGTGTGGCAGTACCAGAGAAACAATAAATCCCATCTCGTATCAAGTATCATTTTAAAAAATATTCTTCAGTTGAGAAGAAAACATGAAGTGTGGCCCCAATTACATTAGGTACTTCCAGTGATACATTTTAAATCAAATTATGAGAATGATAATGTGTAGCAGTAGTGATATGTGCGTTAAACTCCTATTGTTACCCCATGTTGTCAGAGTGGTTGTACACCCTTTAGCTGCCTTCCCTTTCGCACTGAAGCTTCCTGATGCTTCCCTGCCTCTCTCTTCCTGCTGTTGCTCTCCTGTCTGCTTCCCTTCAGTCGTACCTTGATCCAGGTTCTGCCCTCTCAGCCCCTCGTGAGTGCCCCTGCCGAAGCATGCCACAGGAGCTTCGCTGCAGCATGGAGTGGGGGGGTGGTTTACATAGCTGGCTGTCAGTAAGAATCCACTAGGCACTGTAGAAGGTCAGCACCAGGTTTGGTTTCTTTCCAGCCAGCAAAAGCTTCACCCTAGTTTCTTTCCTAAAAATCTTCCAGATTTTCTTGTTGTGTCCCTCGCATCAACCTGTACAGCTCTGGCATCTAAGTTACTTGAGCAACATGCTAGAGCTGTTCATACCAACTTACTGCTGGTGGACTTGAAATCTTTGAAAATAAGGGGCTTCAGATGGGGTTTATGCCTTTTTTTTTTTTTTTAATTTTCCTCTCCATTTTTAGGACATGCTTTTAACAAACCCTAGCTGAAAACTAAACAAATAACAGTTTGTGCCTTATGTAAGTGTGCCTGCTATTGAAATGGTTGCAGTCAAGGGTTGTAGATATTATTAAAAACTCATGTCTTCTTCACTGCCAGCTGCTGCCATAATCCTAAACTAGATGAACTGTTTTATTTTTAACTTTATATCTCAGTATACTGCCCTGTGAAATTCCTTTCTGCCTTTAAATTGATCATCATGCAGAATTTTATATTTTTCAACCTGTCATTGTCTTTGAGAGTTACAGGTTATTCTGAGTTAAAAAGCTACCACTTCTGTTCACAAGCAAAAGGTGTACCTTCTCAAATCTAGCTCAATAGGCATCTCCTATGCAGGCTTGAAAATATTAACTAAGTGCCTATTTTTATTCTTAGTGATGAGGAACTATTTATACTGCAAATGTAATATGATCAAACACACATTAATGTATTACTTTAAAATAAAAACTTGTTGATTAATTTTAAAATCATACTGGATAAAAAATGTGGTCAGTTATTTAAATTATTTTCCAGAGGCAAAATACCATTGGACTTTTTAATTAAATGTATTTGTTTCTTGGCTCTACCTATATAAGTAACATTTAAAAGTTTTGTCTGTGAAGATGTACAGCCACATCAAGCAATTTGCATTATGATAAGACTGAAAAACTTGTATCATTAGTGTGGTAGTAAGTCTACCTTGGTTGTCTGGCAAGTAAATTCTACATCTAGCTACTCCCATTAAAAGAAGCAACCTACTTTCACTAAAAATCTGCTCTCACTAGAGAGTAGGTTTTGTATTTCCCACTCTCAGTGGCAAATGCAGTCCCACTGTAAATGTAATCAATAGGTTAAATTCACCTGAGTGCGTAACACTTTATTATTAGCTGTTTCCAGCAATAGGTAAAGAACAGATTTCTGCACAGAGTTTGCACTTAGAGGAAAGTGCCAAAGGAATATGAATTAGGAGGAACTAGAGGACTTGTGTCCTTTGGGATGCTGCAGAATTGTGAGAATGAATCTTTGAAGGCCAAATCACACATTGACAGTCATTCTGTTTAGACTGCCAGCCTCCCGGTTAGGTTGCTGAAGCCTGGTTTGGGTGTTTTTTCTTTTCTGAAGAAACTAATCCCATTTTGGCACTTTTTTTTTCATCTTAAAAAAACCCAAACAAACAAACAAACAAACCCCAGCCCAAGATCATCTTTTTAAAACTGACCCAAAACCAGATACTTCTGGAGTGAGCCTGGAGTTTACAGCTGAGGTGGGTATTGTACAATTCTATTTACTTTGTCTCATTAGGACAACCATGCTTCCTAGAGGAATAGCTAGAATGCACATTGTGTGGGTTCCTTTGAAAAAACAGAGCAGAAACATGTGATTCGTTTCTGTTAGCTGGAGAATTTATTTTATTTCAAATTCACGATGTCATGGGCTCTAAGCCTGTGGTCTTCAGTGTCTCACTCCAAAATTCCCAAATAGTGCCAATAGCAATTTAATCTGAATCAGTACCTGTCTGTGCTGCAGGTGTGTCTTTTGATACGCATTTGAGTATTTTCTGCTCCTCTGTACATTGCTTTCAGTACTTTCAGCATAAAGATATACCATTTAAAAAGTCCTAAAAACCACCACAGAGTCCAGCAAACAAGCCTGAATAGCAAAAGATTCTCTCTTACAATAAGCCAGACCAAATGGTTCTTGAGCAGCCACGGTAAAGAGAGTTAACTCTTTCACAACTGAACCCAGCACAATATCTCAAGGAAAATATTATGGAGTTCCTTCACAGATTTCACCCCTGTGCTTTCCTTTCTTTTTCTTTTGATAGCCTGGATGTGTAAACACTACTGAGGTGGATATAAAAAAATCTTCAAGAATGAGAAATCCCCATAAAACAAGAAAGGTAAGTACTGTTATTATATCAAAAGTGGGTGGTGGAAGTAATTTATAACATGAAGTTCCGTAGTTTCTTAAAACCCTTTTTTCTTACAGCTGCAAAGAACAAATACATGAGCATATGTTATTATGTCATAAACTCTTAATTAGTATCAACAAATAGGCTAATGCTAAGTAAATGTTATCACATAAGAAAGGCTTTGGAGGAATATATGTGAAAATAAAATTCTTTTTTGCATGATTTATTCATATTGTTTATCAGATTGATTAAAGCATGTTAAAATGTTTCTGTCAGTAATTAAGGAAAAAAAAATTAAAAATGCAGTGTAAAGTATAACAGCAGTTCTTCTTGTGTTGGTCTTAATGAAAAGTGTGTCTCAAGTTTACAATTATGCCCCAAATGGATGACCAGAATTTGTGGAGAAAATTAACTTCATCTAAATTAGGATCCAGTGTAGGCTCTCTAGGGACATATAGATAGATTGGAACAACACTTTCTTTCAAATCCTTTGACTGATAATGTGGATTGACTCCAACCTTAAAATACTCCCTTTGAGGTATATTTTTGTGTCAACCCATAGAAAAATATGTTTTAAAAAGGAAAGTGAATTTAGAGAAAGTTTTAGCTTAGCTTATTTATAGTAGTGAAAGGTCCAGCTTAGCGTAATTTATGAAGCAGTAATTGTAAATCTGGGAGTCATCCAAATAATCCATTGTGATAGCCTACCTTTCAGGATACTCTTTCTTCTTTTCCTACCGGTCATCTCCACTTACTGTAATAGCTGTCTTTCAGTGTCACACATGCCCCACCCCCCCTCCCCTTCATGTTTAATATGCTCTTAATATAGAGATGTAATAAAAGTAGATCCTGTGTTCTATGACGTTGTCTAGGTTCTATGGGATTTTGGGAGTCTTTATTTTACACCATGGTATAGAAGCATGATTTTATCTGAGTGCATGGCTTATTTGCAGTTTCTTTAAGAAAGGATGATCTTGGCTAACTTCTTGAGCACGCTGTACTAAAATGTCACAGTTACTATGGGTATGCGTAGAAATCAGTGTCTGAAAGCAACTATCATTGTTCCATATATTTTTGTGTAGTCTGTCTATGGCTTACAAAATGACATTCGAAGTCACAGCCCTACCCACACACCAGTACCAGAGACTAAGCCACCCACAGAAGATGAACTACACCAAGAGGTTTGAAAAATAACTAAAACCATGTTCTTTTCAATTACCTTTTTAGGAAAGTAGGTGTTAAACCAAAATTATCATAATTGGGAAATATGTTCAGAACAGATGTAGCAAATGTTTAGTAAACCTTTTCCTTGTTTCAGGATACATGGATTTAAGTATGTAATTTCTATTAACACTAATGAAGCAAAACCTGACTTTTTTTGTATCTTGAATCAAACAGTTAAAGGCAGTTCGCAGCAAGCCGGTTAGTGGGTTCTTTGTATAGCTAAGCCCATTAGCCCCTTTAGCAATAGACAGCTTGCTCTTCCTTTCAACATTGATTCAAGGTTTGGGGGCATACTTACCTCTCCAGGTATTCATGTATGGGTTCACACTGTATCTACTGTATATGCTTCATTAATCTTTCCTGAGGTGTTAGAATTGGGAGAAGGTAAATGTTTGAAGAATTAGTAGTTCTCTTCAAAAATATAAGAAAAGGCTAATTGGATTTCTGTTGATGAGCCTTTAGGGAAAATGTTATATTGGATTCTTTCTTTGTCTCTGTATGGTCTTTTCTCTTTGATGGAAAATTTCATGTATTTTAGAACTGCACTGGTGAACAGTTGTTTTAACTCAGATATATTTCTCTACTGTGCCCTAGGATAAATTAAGGTTAGATTACAGCCCTACTAAAAAAGTTATGGAAATAGACTTAAGCAATGAGTTACTCATAACACTCTTCGCCTTCCTTTCTTGCAGATTAAGCACTGGCAAATGCAATTAGACAGGCATAGATTAAAAATGTCAAAAGTTGCAGAGAGGTAAGTATGTTGTCACATCTTCCGTTTTTTCAATTAGACTGATAGCTATTAGGAAAATGTCAGTATGAAATAGCTCCAGAGAAAGAGAGGCAAGGGAGCTCAGGTGTCATAGAGATAACTGATGAGAGTTTACTTTAAATGGAGATGTGAAGTTCTTTCACTGATAAAAGATGGCCCAGGTATTATATGATACATTTCTGATAAACACAAGAGTCACTGAAAGAGACTCTGACCAGGTGCTCACAAGTTTCACCTTGCGTTGGCCGGGAGGCTAAATGGAAATAGGTCTGGGGTTACCGTTTTGTTATTTCAAAATGCAATCACTGACAAAGCAAGGGAACTGATCGACAGAGCTGGCTGAGTGAGGAGCTCAGTGCTTGAACAAAGTGGATCTGAGCTTACTTCGTATCAGAGGATGTAACACTAGTAGGAATATTTCTCCAAATAAGACCAAAATTTATCAGGAAGGGGCTAGAAAGCAAAACAAAGACTAACTACAGCTTAGACAGAGAAGAGGCAGAGAAACGGAACGCTCTGTCTTATACATCAAATACAGAGGTAGTGAAAATTGCAGAAAATTGAGCAGCATAAGAGTTAATGAAGGAAATAAGACAAATAAAAGATGGCTGTTCATCCTCTTATACCTTTGTGCTTGTCTGTCTATTTATATATGTGTATGGATGTATACGCATACAACATGTATAAATATATTTATATTTATAAAAAGAACAGGTTAAGAATTTATGTTGGCTGAATAGTAAAAATGGAATGCAGACTAAACATAATATAAATAGGAATGAAAAGAAGGAATATTTGTTTTCACTTATCAATAAATTTTCAATAATTATGAGGCAAAAGGAAACAGAAAGCAGGAATAAGGGCATGTGAGATGTAAATTACCAGAATATAAGCAAAGTTTTTTGAGTGTGTTGAACTGGGTCACCAATTCATGAACACAGAAGAATTTGGAAAAAAAATTGGTGTTTTTTGGAAAGCAATAAACTTTAAAGTAGTGCCATGAGATTAGGAAATCAGAAAAATATTAACTGTATTTAAAAGACAAAAAAGGAATCCTAGCAGCTGCAGGGCCAATAAGTATGACCTGAATCGCATGAAGTGTTTTAGAACAGATTTTAAAGGAACTGATAATTCAAACCATAGGGGTGTAAAACATTTTCCTTTATGAAAGCAAATGTTCATGGAAAGAGGTTGCTTGATGAAATTTATTAGTGCTTAAAGGAACACTAGAAGGATCTATGTGGAAGTATTAGAGAAGTTTATTTTATTTCAGCTCTTGATAAATGTGAGCCACCTCTCCTTCTTCACGGGTCCACTTTGAAGAGGCTTTAGCAAACCTATTTTAGCCTCAGTTTGTAGCTGACTTCTGAGTCTGTGCACACCTGGTTACCATGGTTCAGTTGATGCAAGGTAACTGGTTAACTAGGGTAGCCTGATCAGGTTTCCTCACCTTCTGACATGGCATGCTTTTGTTTTCCTAGTCTATTAGCTTATACAGAGCAGTATTTGGAATACGATCCTTTCCTTGTGCCCCCTGATCCCTCAAACCCTTGGATATCAGATGACACCACGTTCTGGGAACTGGAGGCAAGGTATATACTTTTATTTCTTCTTTTGGGTTAAGAGAGTATAACAGACATTCCTTGAAATGTGAAGATTTCAGACAGAGGTATTGCAGGAAAGTAATAGGCAGAAGGGCAATGCAGTAGCCTTTTGGTCTATCCAGCTTCACCGTTTTGTAAGATGGGAAGAGCTATGGATTAATAAATCTATGTGCAAAGTTACAGTAACCAGTTTCCAAGGTTCCAATGTGGGGAAGAAAGACACCTTTTAAAATCTGATAACATTCCTGTTTGGAAGTTCTTATTCACCTGTGTAAATGCACGCGTATTGCCTTCATCCTGTGTAAGTGCTAGCAGCCTGTTGCTCATCTCTGAAAATTGCACAAAAATGAGCAATCTGGAAGGTGAGAAATCTGTGGTTGGACTTCAGGTCTTAGTCTAAATTATGAACACAGAGAATTAGAATACTGAAGTATTGCTGATTGTGGGTTCTGTTGTTTTTCCTTCTGTAGCAAAGAGCCAGGACAGCAGAGGGTGAAACGATGGGGATTTGGTATGGATGAAGCTTTGAAAGACCCTGTGGGAAGAGAGCAGTTTCTCAAATTCCTGGAGTCAGAATTCAGTTCAGAAAATTTAAGGTAAATGAGAGGGACGTTATATTTTAATAGCTTGTAATATACATTGGGTTGTTTAGTTTGGTTTTGGTTTTTTTCATTTGATACCTTTCTTTTTCATTTTTTGACCACTTCAGAATTTTTCCCATGTCTTACTTTTCAGAATGCATTCATGGACATTGCTGCCTGATCCCATATTCAGGATGAAGGAATGATTCATATAGTTAGCAGAGACTCACATGATGTGTACTTTCCCATTCATATCCAACTTTTGGTCAAACTACTCATGTAAGAGCTTTTCTCTCAGCTCATTTTATTAAACAGGTTTAAAACATTGACCCAGTTGAAGTCTGTTCAGTATCTCTTATTAAGTCCAATATTATGAAAATTTTAACTGAAATTGAAAAAGAGAAATTGTTTAAAAAAAAGGAAAGTTTTAAAATTAAATTTCACTGAATTTCCCTGTTAGTTGGCTTTCTGGGGATCATTGATCATTTGAAAAACTCCACTAAGATTCAAGTACTGATGGATCTGACACAACAGAAGTACTGTGACAGCTGGGTCTCAAATTCCTCACTCATTACAAAACTGAAAGGTTCTACTAAGTGTATGAAACTTAGTTTTGTTGGTCTTCTTTAAATATACATGTACCGAATTACTTTTAAGTGAGGGAGAACAATTAATTGATTTTTAAAAAATGCTAGTCAAATGGCTAATAGCATGTTTTGTTATCACTGATCCAGAAAGTCGCATTTCAGTAAGAATAATTTCAGAGGGATTCATAACAGCCTTTCTGTAGATAAGTCATGCTGTACATAGTGCAAAAGCATGTACATCATATTTTTCTCTTTATTCCATCTTTTTGTCAGATGTCATCTCTATCCCTTCCCATTCACCAGTTGCACAAGGAATATAAAATACTATTTGCACACCTTCTGGAACTCAGAAAATTCTAAACTACTTTGTTTCTGTGCCAGTTCTCACTCTGAAGTAGTGTAGCAAACCCACTCATACTAGAGTTACATTTATGTAGCATCTTACAAGAGGCATTTAGCATTTTGTGGTGTTGATACAGAAATGCTGAGTAATTGAACAGACCTCCTTGTTGTTAATTTGTCAGCAGAATAATAGGAGACAGACCTCTCTAAGTTGCTGAGCATGTTTATACTCAAACATTGAACCTTGCTTCACAAATGTATCTTACATACTCTAGACTGAATGATGTTTTCCAACTGACTTGTTTGTCGTTGTGCCTCTGGAAATATGGCTTGACCTGTATATGTATGTTGATAACTTTATTAGTGACAGATACAGGTGTTTTTAATTAAAAAATCCAAGTGGTACAATGAAATTTTTAAAATCAGAATAATACCAAGTAAAGAAAAGGTATTTTTTTTATTTAAAGAGCATCCTGGTAATTCCTTATGCAGAGCAGCTGTTCAAACATGAAACTATCCAGCCCCAGTGTGTGCTGCAGTTTCTATGCTTTTCTGTGATTAATCTGTCTCCCTGCCAACTAGACTGTTATCCACATAATCCCTAGCTCTTTCTTCTAATCCTATTTACAACACTAACCACAAGCAAACTGCAAGTGACTGATCCAGAAAAATTCCCTAGAGAAATTTGTTCAGAGCTGATTCCTTGACATGCCATCTACTCTTCTGTCTCTCTCTCCCTCTTTCTTATATTGGCATTATAAAATATAATATCAGAGCAATGGTGAATAAGAGCTTAAAGGCTGTTCCTGGGAAGGATCAGGCAAGGGATCAAACTTGTGCTGAAAAGTTGCTTTCTGTGATGATTAACTGAAGGAAAACTCTCTCACAAGCTCAGAATTATGTTTATGAATTCTTGAACTGTGGGGAGATCAAACCACTGTTAGGCTCACACAGTATAGTGAGGTTAGAAAGCAGGAATTTGTGGTTTGTTGTGTATGGGAGTCAAAATGTTATAGATCACAATAACAGACATGGAAAGCTTGATGGTTTCAAGCATTACTTCTGAATAATTTTAAATGTAAAAGTCCACAAATTTCTTCACTCACTTGTTAACCTTACTATGGGAATTTTGGGGTTTCGGGGTAATTTTGGGGGATTTGACAGCCACCTTGAGAAAAAGATGTATTTCCACCCACATTTTCTCACTGCAACAAAGTGAACTCAGGTCAGTGGCTGGCTCTAGTACTTTTAAAGATCTGATCATGATAAAATTTACAAGCACCATCAAACTGACAGTGGGATAGTCAGCTGGGACCCTGGATTCAAGCTACCAAGCACAGTACACAGGATACAGATACCAGATACACTGTTTCTGTTCAAGTGTGATTATCTCATGTAGCTAAAAGTCCCAGTGTTGGTGTTTCATTAACTTGGATGGAGAGTGTCTAAGCTGGCTGAAAATCTCATTCTTGGTGCTTATAGATCCTGTCTTAAGAAACAGAACAGGGATGAAGGAACAAGCCCTGAGTTAAAACTAAGAACTGTGCAGTGATTAGGAATGCAACCAGAGCTCACCTTTTTATGCTGTATCTCTCTGCATTTTTTCTTTTTTTTTTTTTCTTGTAAATTTGGATTAGTACTATGTCACTCTCTAAAGGGATGTTGTAAAGCAGAGCAAAGAAATAAAACTGTCTGAGCAGTTCTGTCAGTGCAGTATCTTCATCACAGAGTGACTGCAGTTTGCTAACACCCAGGTTGGATTCTGCACTCACCTAATGCAGGCTATGACTTGTAATGACTTGTTACCATGCAGATTTTTTGGAGGGATCATTTTGCATGAGGCTCACTGCACAGAGCAAAGAGTTAAAGTAACATATGATTGGGATAATAAATTTATAGTATTCCCACAGCCTATTACAAAAATCCTGACCATTGTTTAAAATTCACAAGACTTAAATTTGAGCGTGATCCAGTACTACCGAGCTCGGTCACAAGGCTGCCCGAGCACTGAAAAAGGACTTTCAAAGAGAGTGAGATAGTGAAATGAATCTTACTGGAATGTGGCACCTGGACACCTAATTTCTTTCATCTCTGTAGAAAATCCCCATTCCTCTCCATATCATTCCTTTCTCTGTAGAATTCTTTAGAAAATTAATATTCATATGCTGACTGTACGTTTGCTCCCAGGTGGTTGTTCTGTAGGAACTGCAGCCTGTAAAGATCTAAATGGTTTCAGGCCTGCCAACCTGGAAGGCTGTCCAAGTCATTATGCAGTATTGCCGTAGGGGTGATCTCTGAGGCAGTGCTAAGACTGCAGAAGCCTCCTAGGTTAGTGAAGGGAGAATGGTGACAGGACATCTTCCATGACTGATGCACAGAAAAAAAGCTGCTGTCCCCCTTGCCCCTTCCTTTGATCCTCATTTATTAGTTTGCATAATGTGTGAGTAAACAGGGAAAAAGGGCTTTGAGTTCTGGCTGTCCAGAAAAAGAAGAGACAGACTGAGGATTTAACTAGATTTAGATGTTTTTTCTCAAAAAATTTTCTCTGTCCAACCCCCTGCAAGCTGAGGTTTTGTGAGGTGTTTATTTCAGACTCATCCATTTAAGTTGTTTTAGAAGTATTCTGTACTGGAGATAGCAGATTCAATTATGTCCTGAAAAATCCAACACATATACACTACTAAAAATTTGCAGTATTGCCTACAAACTGTTTCAGTCAGAGTGCTTAATTTTATGTTTAGCTTACTTCAGTGGTTCTGGTTATTCTCTTAATAACATCATAACAGTGCTTTTACTAGAGAAGAGGGAGAATGGTGCAAGAGGTTTTCTTATTAATTCAGCCTTTCACTGTTTTGCTCTCTATTACTGATCACTGCTCTTGATTACTTGAAATCCAAGGCATTTCTGTCTTCACTAACAGTGAAGAAGAGTTCTGCATGTTAGAAAGTATGAAGATTAATTAGCTGTTCTTGATGTCTGTCCTGCAGATCTGAACAGAAGTGTTGGTAATGACACTTTCCCACACAGTATGGGCACTGGTAATGTTTATCCTTCACTCTGTTGATTATGAAACCCTGGTTTAGGTGTTAATAACTTGACCAAAATTTAATCCTCAACTCTGAAATTGCCTGTACTTTATTTCTTATTAGGACTCAAGCTTAAACTCCAAGCTCCAGCAATGTTGCCATTTCCCCAGATGGGATGAGAAGGAACTAGTTGCCAGATTTAGTGGTTTTTCTCTGTGATTTTCTAGAAGACCTGCAGCACTACTATGTCTTTAAGCTTGAAGTTGTACTTGGCAAGAAGGTGGACTCTGACAATCAGAGAGAGTCTTTCCTGCCCCTAGAAAAATGTTAGCTGATTTTCTTCATGGAGTTTGTTAATGTTTTTTTTGCCTTTGCTGAAAATGTGGAAAGGCCTGTCCTCCAACTTGTGTCATATGCACTGGGTGCAAAGCCCATGTAATTCCCACTTCACTGTGTCCGCACTCTGCCTAAACCTCCTGTGTTTTGTGGGGAATCACTGCAGCCTTTCTCTCACTCTGCATGCCTCTGTGCTAAATTTAACTGATTAGCTTGATCTGGGATCTGCTGATGGCTGCATTTGACATCTAGGTCAGTTAATGGGTCAGAAGCCGTGTTGCAGCTGTGCTATTTATCTGGCAAGGCCACCCTCACTTTGAAAGTAATCCAGCTGGAGGACATAATCCCCCGATGTCTTGTAAGATGTGTTTTAGCTTGTCATGTGGTTGGATGTATGACTATCATACGCTGTACACTGTCACTCAGCTATACGTCTGGCTTGTGACCCGGTATGTGTCAGCCCAAATGCTAGGACAGAAGGCAGCAGTGAGGTTTACACCCAACTACTCAGGTCTCTGTTCAGACGGTACTGAGCAACTTCTACAGAGGGTCTCCATGGCAAAAGCAAACCTCTACCAACAGGAGATACGGTTTCATCTAAGGGTAGAAAGACTGAGCTCTCGTTCCTTCCACAAAGTAGCACTAAGCCTGTGTATATTATTGTCCAGTAAACACTGTTGGGTTTCCCCTCTCCTGCCCTGGCATATATTTACTGGTGCACACTGCATGCTGTTTGCTGCAAGAGTCTTCCCTTGCTCTGATCACAGCTCATGAGGCAGAGAGCTGTAAAAGGGGACAGGGAGCTCTTTTGATTTGAGGTGCTGTGCTGAGGTCTTGCAGATTCCATATCAACGTCTTCTGTGCTATCGGTTGCCATGGAATATTCAGAAAAGTTATTTTTGAAAATGCAAGAGGTGGCAACCTTATTTTTGGCATTCCTAACTTCACATATTTGACTTTAACTCTGGCTGGGAGAAGGGCAGGCATTTTTTCTTGAAAGATCTGTAAGTAGAACAAAATGTTAAAATGTGTGTTGGATGTGAAGTAACCTCCCCTAGACATAACATACTGCAAAAATCAGCATATTCTTCCAACTTTTACGGAGGTTTCTATATTTAGAACCTCGTGTTTTCAGTAGGGTTTTTGAATGCTAATGTTAGAATGGTAAAATCAAATTAATCTATCAAAGAGCTGGTGTTCAGCCCCTAAGGATGTGTCTATACAACCTGCCTATTCTGTGCTGGAAGCTGAATGATCCCCCTAAAAAGTTAAATTTATCTCCCATCTATCTCCCCATAATTGAATATAACCTACTATATGGAAACAGTTTACTTGCAAAAGAAAATAGCATCCTAAGGCATGTTTGCAGTGAATTCCAGAAGTATTGGCAGGATATAATGGAACAAACAATAATGTGACAGCTTTGAGCTAGATCCTCAGGATGTCTGCAGGGTGATAGAAAATGTGTGTTTACAAAGAACATCCTTCCCTTTCATTTTTCTATTCCTTACCTGACTTCAATACACATGAGTAATCAGTCAGTCCCCAAAGATGCATTTGAAGGGGTTAGCACTGCAGGATACATACTTTTAAATGCAAATATTGAAAACAGCTTAAGGAAACGAAAGTAGGTTGCCCAAATTTGACAATGTGAACTGAATTAGAGTTTGTGAGTTATGCAGTTTTTACACTTGAGTTATGAGGCCTCTACTCTTACTTCATTGCCACCAGATTCTCAGGATATGTTCCCAGGCTCTGTGCAGATCTCTGTTCCACTCACATTAGAGTTCGTGGAGATAAGTGATGCAATTTTTGAAACTGCCATTCTTTTCTTGGCACCAACTCCCTTGTTACCTTGGAGAAACACCTGTACATGATTATATTATCAGTGTATTTACAAAACTGGGACACTATTACTTCTCTCTCTCTTGGAGAATCTTGAGGGATCAGTAGACGCCAAGATTGTGCTTAGATACTATGGAAATTGAAGGATGTAAAAATACCTAAACCAGTCATCTCAGTAGAGTGATGCTGACCATAATGGTTTGTGTGCAATGAGTACGGGCTCCTTCCATCTGTGCTACAAAGGAATTTCAAAACAGGACTATGAAGGACTAATCTTCCTGGAAGGTAGATCATCTCAAGTGAAGAATGTCTTTTAGGAGGAATACTGTAAGGTTTTCTTTGCTATGCTTTACTGTCCTCTCTTAAGAGGTGTTGCAATAACTATGTTAGAATTTGGATTGAGGGAGGTATCATTTTGATTTCTTGGTGGGTCTGAGTACAGTTCCACTGTTCCTCTCTCCTATCCCACCCCTGTTTTACTAAGCTAAGAGAGCTCAGTTTGATCTCACAGGGTAAGCAGGGTGGAACTACATTTTAAAGGTACGCCCAAATTATCAGTCAGCCTTGTAAAATACAACTTAATTAACAGTTCCCTCACTTCAAGGTTCAGCTTATCTCTTTCACACGATCAGCTGTGTCAAAACAATAATGAAAAGTATTGATGGTATATATTGCATATTTAACAAAGTCAGACTTTAGTTGAGCTCTCAGGGGGGTGGGGACCAACAAAGTGTACTGCACTCTGCCTAAGCATGGGATGATAGTTGAATTTAGAATTATTTTGTGCAGTGAGAGCGTCTGAACACCCATAGAGGAAATAATGATAAGGCAATCATAATGGCAATTGAAAAGTGAATATCAAAGCTTATCAAAGCTAGCTAGCTGTGATCACAAAGTACTCAAGACCTTTTTGATGATCCTGGTCCAGAATGGGAGAAAGTGTAAAATGAAATGTCCTGCTCTGTCTGTGGCTGCTTGATGTTGGTTTGCTCAGCAGCAGAAGAGAGAACGGGCACTTCCATCCAGCATTTTAGCAAAAGCATGCATAGACATGCAATTCTGGAGAAAGAAATTAAATTACAGAGGGCAAAACAAATGCTTTTTCAGTTTATACATGATTTGTGGAGTAGTAGTAACAAAATTGCTGTTACACAGCTTATAGTTTAGCAGGACTCAGAGAGATTCATGTAGATAGCAAGAACATAACTTATCAGGTTTAGAAGGAATGTCAAAAAGCAGTAGATTTATAAGTGTTATACACCTTGTGGTTCAGGTGAAATGAAATTTCAGTTTAATTCCAGTTAAGTGGAAACCTTCCCTTAAGCAAGTTATCCATACATAAGTAATGAAGGACTTCCCACCCATCTCATGAGGAGGCTTGTAATAATTGAGTCTTAAGGTAGATTGATTGCCTGAGACACTACATCAGAGTGCTGATCCTAACATAAAAGCACAGATTTTTCTTATTTTAGTGTGTTTTAGATGAAGAATTCAGTTACTTCATTTTTTGTAAGAGCAAAGAGCATAAGCACTTCACTAATGATTATACTGAACTGGAAATCAGGATGCTGTGTTGTACTGTAGGTTCTGGTTAGCAGTAGAAGACCTGAAGAAGAGGCCTATCCGTGAAGTTCCTGCTCGCGTCCAAGAAATCTGGCAAGAATTCCTTGCTCCAGGTGCACCCAGCGCTATCAATCTAGATTCAAAAAGTTATGACAAAACCACGCAGAATGTAAAGGACCCAGGAAGATACACATTTGAAGATGCTCAGGTCAGTTTGCAATCCTGTTTAGGGACATTTGAAATAGAATATTGGCTTGTGAAGTCTATATACATAAGATATATTTGGCAATCAAATGGTAACGCTCTGTTTCCTAAAATGCCATTATGTCAATGAAAATTGGTAACATTCTTTATTTCATGAGGCCTGTGAATTATTAAAGCTCTTCATGGAACTTCAGTGCCTAGTCTTCAAGTGGGCTTCAAATAGAGCAAAGCGTACTGTGCAATGAAAATTATATTTTCATGTTCCTTTTTACTGAATTTTCTTATTCAGTTACATTAAGAGAAAAGCTCCCCCCACACACTGATTTCTAGTTCTCAAGATCTGTCTTTGCAAGACTTCCCTTGACAGGTTCAATGTCTGTTGTCTCAATGCATGTCCAAAAGTGGTGTTGTCATTTGCAGGAGTCATAGGTTCCCATAATGCAAAGAATGTGACCCATGTGAGAAACAACATTTTGTAACAGCTTGTGAACAAGTATCATGTTTTACAGATGTTGTATTTTCTATATCTTATTAAACTACCTACAGAGCACTGGGCAAAGATCCTAAAGATCTGCTCTTCAATAATAAGTATTACAGCAGTCTGTAAATGTCTCATTTGGCTTATGGGGGTCTGATTTAGTCTCAATTTGAATGCCATCATCAAAAGATACTTTTTATTGGATCGAGTTTTGTGAAAATACTTATATTTTTGAGATTTGAAGTAAAATTTTAAACCCCAAAATGATAATACAAATCTCAGGTTTATTCAGAAGAAAAAAAAAGTACTTCTGTTTAAATGTGGCACTTCATGTGGCTTATAATTCAATATTTCATCTTTGCAGACTTCTGAGAAAAGCAAAAGAAAAGAAATGGATACACAGTAAAAGTATTAGAAACAGTACCATCCTCCCTTTTTCATCAGCAGCCCAGTGATGAAAATTTAATTATTAATGCGAAGTGAAATGGTGTCAAAAGGAGAGATAGATATCATATCCCTGCAGAATTTCCTACAGTTTGATTATTAGGTCATCATCTTGGGAGCCAGGAGATGCTGCTGCAAGTCCCACAAAAAAGAGAAGGGAATTGAATTGGGCTTTTTGCTTTTTGGGAAAGTGTCTCTGCCCTAAATAAGAGAGGGAATAATTCTAGCACCTTTTCACTTTGCTATTATGAGAATAGCAACCTATGATGCAACGATTAAGTTTTCATTAGACACTATATCATACCCACTGTTTTGAAGTATTCTGAATTAAGCCGAACACATAGTTTTTCCTTGCATCGGCTGACCCCTTGGAGATTTAGGAATGCAGCATATAGCAAATACGTTACACAAATAAAAAATCTAGCAAGATTAAAGGTTAAAAAAAAAAATGTTTTTGCAGTTCAGTCAGTGAAGGACAATTCAATTCCTTGCCACTATCCAATTTGATTTTTTTTTAAATAGGTGTAGATTTTCTTTTGTTTTTAATTCCAGATCTCTCCTCTCCTCTCCTCTC